AGCCGTCATCAGCCGTGCTCAAGGTGGCTGCACCCCGTCGCCCCCTGTACCTTGTGTCCCCCCACGATCGATCACCCAGCCCCTGAGCTCAGGGGAGACCCCAAATACTCACAGGGTCTCCTTTAGGTCCCGGGGGACCCTGGATGCCCGGGAGCCCCTGGTCTCCTTTCTCCCCCATCTCTCCTGGGGGTCCAATGAGCCCAATCAGTCCAGCGTGGCCCTGGGGGGTGAAGGGCAGCGTCAGGCAGCCCCCTCCCCACGACGAGGGGGGCTTGGGGATGAGTCCGTGGTGAGGGACCCCAGCTCCTGCGCGACCATCACCTCATCTCACCTTATCTCCCTTGTGGCCAGGGTCTCCCTTGAGGCCAGGCAAACCCACGGGACCCTGCAAGAGGCCAAGAGGGTGTCACGAACCCTGGGCCATGCCCAGCTCGGATCACCCGTGTCCAGGGCTCGCTCACCCTGACTTACCAGGGGGCCAGGTGGTCCTGCTTGCCCCGGAGCCCCCAGCAAGCCTTGTTCACCCTGGAAGAGACCTCGGTGTGGGAGAGGGACCTGAGGCTGAGCCCCTCCAAAACACCCCTCCAAGCTGCAACTTCCCCCCAGGCTGCTTCGGGGCCAGGGCTTTGGGGACACGGGTGGCCCCGCATTGGCACGGGAAGATCCTGCCCGCAGCCCCCGACTCACGGCAGGGCCGGGGATCCCACGCAGTCCTTCAGAGCCCGGCCGTCCCGGCGGCCCCTGTGCCCCCACGGGGCCCGTCTTCCCAGGTGGTCCCTCGGTGCCAGGCTGTCCCTGGGGACAGAAGGACAGACAGACCCCTCGGGACACAGCCCCACCTCTCCAGAGGGGGTTCTGGTCCTGCCCCAGGGCTGGTGGAGGCTTCTGGAGGGGTTTGGGAAGCCCTGGGACGTACCGGCCACCACTCACCTTGGCACCCTTCTCGCCCTGACGGCCCTCGTGCCCCATCGGTCCCACGGGCCCCTGGGTGAGGAGACAGAGACACTGGGAGCTGCGCGCTGGCCCAGGCCAGCCCCGCTCGCGGTCCCACTTCACCCCGTGCTGTCCCTCCCCATCTCACCCTCGCCCTTCCCCTACTCACCCTCCGTCCGGGGGG